GCTTGTCTCTGTCCTCCAGATGACCAGGCGTTAACGTGCGCTCTTCTGCCCACTCTCCCCCCTCTCCTAGATGGGTTCGATGAACCACACTGGCTGGGTCAGGGCCTTACAGGACCGGGAGCCAAATAAAACGAGAACACAACCGGGTAACCTCATTAAACATGGCTGTTTTAAGAAGTCTGGTGCAGTTGTGCTGAGAGTGTAGACTTCTCCCTGAACCTTCCTCTGCTAGGGAGAACACATATTGGCTCTTTCATCAAGTGGACGTCCTCTTGGAAATAAGGCCGTGGCCCTAGTTTGGACTCTATAAGGAGCCAGGGCATAACTGTATGGTGTATAAATATCAGGCTGGCTTTTACATTAACATTATGAATGACTTTACTGTATAGTTGGATCAAGTAGAGGTTCTTTCTTACATCGACCTAAAAAAAATTCCAAATCAACTTCATTTGATTATCAATAACAGCTTACTGCCATGTAAGCCTGGAAACCAAAACTGCCTGTTTTTAGTTCTATCCCAGATTCTGCATGGCGCCCTATGGTTTGCCTTATCATCTAATCTGGGATGAGCCGCGCCAGGATAGGCTAGCATCCTGCAGCTGTCCTGCAGCTGTCGTCCAGCCGACCCCAGGCCTCTCCCCCTGCTCCTCTGCTCAGCCTCCGCTCCTCGAGCTGAGATCGACACTATGAACTGGCTGGGTCAGGACTGCGCAGGACCACAGGCACACAATGACGGTTCACGGAGAGGACAGAGTGCTATTCTCTGGTGAGGACAAACATCCAGAGTGTCCTGTTGATTCAGCCACAACGGAGCATTAATCATGTACTTTGACTCAGGTGGAATCAGCAGTAGTTCCCTTTCTGTCCGCCTGTACCTGCAACGGTCCCCTACAAACTTTAGGAGAGTCCATTCTCAGTGGATGTGCACTAGTTGCACACTGGACCATAGACCACTTTTTGTCCGCCTTGCTAACAAGGCAAATGTTACTTATGCTGTGTGAATGTTAATGTCCCACCAAACATTAGGGAAGCCACAGTAGTGATTATCTTTTCTGGTCCGTAAGGAGACAGTAGTTTAAGGTCAAATAGTCAGGATGATAATGACACTGTAATGAGCATCCTGTCAGAGTCTGACTCACCTGCAGTACTAGGAACAATTCACAGGATGTGTTCCAAAAAACACACACACACACTCAACATTTGGTCTTCCTCCTTCTTTCAAGCTGAGCAGCTCATCGCTGGTACATTAAACCCAGTGCAGTGTGTGGAGTGAACTCAGCATGAAATTTTCCCTTGTGGACTGAACTGACCCCCCCCCCATACAAAATTTGTCTGAGCTAGAAGATCGCCTTAGGCACAATAGCATTTACTGAGCAACCCCCCTCCCTCCACCCCCCTCCCCCAAATTTCCTAAATACCAAACACAAAATTGAGCAGTTATATTATAAATTTGAGCCCACTGGGTAATTTTATCTCCGCTCTGATGCAGATACTAATTACAAGCTCCAGTGTACATGTAACGACTGGATCAAAACATTATTCAATCAGGTTGTATTCTTACAATCTTTTTTTCTCGTATTTTTTTGTACAATGTTGTAGCTTTAATAGTAGTTATAATAATATTGTACTCACCAAAGTAATTGCTGAGCAACATTGCTAGAACACAGTCAGGATTTTAGAAACGTTATTGGTCTTAAGCCTGAATTCCTACAAAACACAGCCCCTCCAACCTACACTTTTGTAAAACTAGGATTATTGTTAAAGAAATTCCCTAAATTTTCTTTTTCTTCTATTAATTAAGAATTTTCAGTTCCTCCCTACATTATGTCAATCTTTTTGTTGTTGGGTTAGGGTAAGAGTTAGCAGTTGTTGCAGTGGAGAATACTAAGTCCCTTTAATTGTGGTTAATTTAGTTCTCTCTTACCTGGATACAGTCCAGTTTAAGATACTTCCTAATATTTACATATACACACTAAGATACTAAAAATGGATCATCAATAAAAGTGTAGCATCGGAGCAACATAGTAGCCAAGTGGTTACAGTGCATACGTTGCTGGTTCGATTACAGCCAGCAACCTTCATTGTGATGCACCCTCCTCTCTCCCCCCGTTTCCTGTCTGCCACTTCACCGTCCAATTAAAATCAAAATGCCCCAAAAAAATCTTTAAAAAGAAAAAGGCTAGCATGTGTAATACATGTGTAATAAGTGTGTTGTAGAATGTAAACATCTGCCTTAGATGGCATGTATTCCCCTATTTCCCAGAAAGCACTATTCCAACCAGGGGTACTGCTAGTGCAGGGACTATTTCTGGAGGAGGACAGCTAATTTAAAATCTGCACAGATTTTCCAGTGATATAAGTCAGACACCTCACATTGTTACCGAACTTGCTGAAACAAAAGAGACCAAAACTTAACATCTAAATGTTAATGATTAATATTAATCCTCGTGTGCAACATGGATCCGTCACGAGCATGAACACTGTGATGTAATGAAGCCAACACATCTATAGAGGGCGTATGATGGAGAGTTACTGGAGCCCATCTTGTAGGGATGTTGGGGTATGTTGGACAACAAAGGTTGGGGGCCGCTGATCTAAACACTTTATTTTGATGTGAAAATGAGCACACCTGAAAAATTTCTGATTGTACAGGAGATCTTTGTGAGCCTAATTGCAAGTGAGTACAGTAGGCCAAAGTTGAGCCGGGAAGCGAGTCCTTTACAGTGGACAATCTGGGTAATGATTTCCACACTTACCTTTGTTTTCCCTGATAAATAGGAGGTTATCTCAAACCAGTATTAGTATATGACTGCCTCCCTTGCTTGCTCTGTTGGACTTGGACTGTTTAGCAATGTTGCCGCATTCTCAGATCCGTGCAATTAACTTGATGAGTACAATGTTATAATTACCAAGTAATGATGGACAAAAACTAGTAGCACTATAATAGGCATCTACTTTAATTCTCCAGTTGTTGCAACGCGGGCTGCTGATATGCTTGCTAATTTTGCCCAAGAGAAGTTTTCTTTGACTGATGGGTACTTTCCAGACAGCTACCAGCTTTGAGGTTATGTATTTGCGTAACCTCCCCCTCCCCTCAAATGCAAAAACAACCTCTGGCCACAGCTTTGAATAATGCTGTGATCTACCCGAGTCAACCCGAGTGGTTCGGTAAGGGTTAAAATGCAAACAGGGAGAGATATTGGAGGTTTTCATCCCAGTGCCCCTGACTGCCCTTTCAAAGCCGCTTAGTCTGATTTCAGCACCTTGGACAGCGGCACAGCGCAGCGGGGGAAACATCCGCCTGTTTTCCTGCAACGTTTGTGCCTCACTGATTTAACTGAGAAGAGGCAGAAGACCCTCAGCGCATTTATGTGCACTCGCTTTGGCCACCTCAGCCACGTGGGAAGTCTACTGGGACCTTGTGCGTCTCCTGTTATTTCCCCAATGTTGTGTTTACAAGGCAGAGAGAGACAGGCAGACAAACACAAATGTGAGACCGTAAGGACAAGCGCTGCTGCACTAGTGTTTTTGAATCAATCGGTGACCCTGCCGACGGAGTGTTTTCTGCGTCCTGTTGAGACAGACAATGCACACCCTACCATGGCCCCTGTGTGTGTCTGATATATGGAAGCGTTTGTGACTTTGGGTGGCGTCCTGTCTGTTTGCCTCACTGTCACCCTCTGTGAACGCTGCTGGGAGAGGGTTGCCGTCGGTGCCTCCCTCCTTCTCTCCTCTGCTCCTCCCCTCCCACCGCTGCTCCTCTGTCTCACTTCCTTCCTGTTTATCCGTTTCCTTTCCGTCCCTCCATTCATTGCTCCCTTATTCCCCTGTTTTCCACCCCTGCCTCTTTTCATTCTGTAAATCATCTTTCTTGCTTTTCTCTCCTTCCTATTACTCAGACTCCATTAAACTGTTCAGCTTCCTCTCTGACCCTCCGCCTGCCTGCCTTTCCCTCGCCCGTCTTTCCTCCCCCTCCATTTTTACCTCCCACACACACAAACAGCCATATTAAATCTGCCAGTCGGGGTTCTGGCCTCTGTGGTCCAGTCAGGATCTCTGGTTGGAGAGTGGGACAAGAGTTGAAGGGTGACTACAGGAGTGGAGAGGGAGGGAGTGGGCTGTGGGAAGTCAGGGAGTGCGAGGGGAGGCGCTAGCTGGCGGGGCCTGGGACCTGAACCAGACAGACAGTGAAACGTCACACCAAACCCAGACTCTCCGACTGTGATCGCATTCTGTGTGTGTGTGTGTGTGTGTGTGTGTGTCTCTTTTTGTTGCGATTGTGTGTATGTGTGTGTGTGTGTGTGTGTGTGACTGGGGGTTCACAGTGTTAGTAGCTCAGAGTCAGCTGAGGCTGCAGTGGAGACAGACAGAGACAGAGGCACTGAGCAGTACAAACACCACTGAATGTTGAGTTGTATGGACTGGGATATCTGCTTTTGGGAGGAAATTTGGCAGGTGAGCGTGCATGTGCAAGCATTTTATGCGCGATAGAGTCCACTATATAGACTTGTTTATGTTTTCTAAATGCCTGCGTGTGAGTAATTTGTGAGTGTGTGTGAATTTGTGCTCAGCGCGGTCTGATTTCAATAGCCTCGTGTCATTATATGACACTTGTACAGTGGCGCGTCATCAGCGAGAAGGGGGAACTGATGTTCGATGATCCGTGCTGTCACTGCAGGTTGTAAGCTGACCGCGGGGGGACAGACATCAGCGTTGCGCCCAGAGCCGCAGGGAGAGGTGTGGCCACGCTCACTTGACCAGCAGCAGGCCTTGGCTACAGACTTCTTATCAGGTACGAAGGTCAACAACATTGGTCCAAAGTGACACTTTCAATTAAAAATGTTTTGCTATTTCTTCCAACAGTTTCTTGATGTTGATTGTGGTGTTTTGGTGTCATTACAGGCCAGTTTTAAATATAAACAAGGGAGGACATAATAGTATTTGTAGTCAGAATAACACTCAATGATAGGTAATAATTGATGCAGTAAGTCCAATTATCCAGTGCTGTTTTCAATGATTGTGAGAACTTTAACTTTATTCTAAACTAATTAACACTTATTAACAGAGATGTGGACTCCAGTCACGTGACTCAGACTCACATCAGACTAGAGTCAGGAGCCGTTAGACTAAAGAAAAAAGACTCAACTTTGACTCATGACCTCACTTGGACTTCAGTCTTGATTAACTTGACGAGGAAGGACTGATATTCTCACTGATGCCCAATGAGAAATAGTCTTATAAAGAAGTACGCAGCCAGTCAACTTTGAATCAGAGCAACCACACGTTGCAGCACCCCAGCGGACACACAAAAATGACATAAGACTTTTTGGGAATTGGACTCAAACTAGAACTTGGATCTTAATTTTTATTTCATAGCCAATACTTTAGACTTTCAATGTCACTTTGTCCTAACTCTGGGATATTGCCAGTCTCAAGGGATCAAAATAATGAATAATTTTTCATCTTATAAGATTCTGTATCGACTTTATTGATAAGTATATTGACAAATATAAGGAGTTTGTCTGTGGTTGTCAGTAGCTCTCAAGATACAAATGTAGATGTACAACTAAACAAATTTAACGATTAGTATTTTTGTGTGCTAAAGCAATGATGTGCAGTTATATATTGTGTGACTTTCTTCTGTAGAAAAGTTTGATTTCAAATCCTTTTCTCTCTTTGTTTCCTTCCTCCTTGTTGTCTACCTCCACCTCACCCACTCTGAATTATTAATGCCTTCATGCCCAACCACCTCCTACTCCATCTTCCTCCATCTTCTCCTTACCTTCTTTTTCTCCTTTGACTACTCAATCCATCTTTGCCCCTTTCTCATTCCTCTACCCCTCCCACGTTTTCCGTCCTTCTTCTGTCCCTCTCTGTTGTTCTGTCCCTCCCTCTTGCCAGCCTCCATGGCAGGTTATTCAGACCCTCTGGGCTCTCAGACCAGCTCTGCCCACATGATGGATACTGGCCTGATGGGAGCTTTTTCAGGTACACTCCCAATGTTTTTCTTCTAACTGCCACAAAACCACCGTGCCAGTACTGATGCTGCTAGTATTACTATTATAATATAATATTGGCAGTACTAGAATACTAACATCATTTTATTCATAGTTGACTTTTCCAATAGTAAGGCGGCAGGTGCTTCAAAAACCTGAGCTTAAAAAGTCTTATTAGATGGCAGTAGTCATACAGAAATCATCTTCTCACACATTTGGCTTCTCCAACTCCAAAACAAAACATTTCAAGCTTTTATTTTTTATCACTGAAACTAAGTGATAACACTAGCCTAAAGTGTTAGCTTGCATCAGTTGTACCAATTAGCGTGAATGAAAGTGCTGAGTGGTGGTAACAGTGCTAATACACATTTGCTTTTAACTGCACTGATCATGGGCCATTACACAAACAGAATGTAACAGCATCATTTCAAAATGGTACTTTCTGTTCAAACACCTGTTGCCCATCTAATGCGTCTTTCTTTTTCTTTCTTTCTTTC